GCAGTACCTATCAAGTGTCAGGCACTGGATTAGGTATAATAAATTCAAAGATGAATCTGGCTCAAAATACCCCCTGGCTAAGGTGGGAGGCAAAACAGGCACAAACAGATAATAAACAGATAACAAGATACTGTGGTAGTACAGTGAGGTAGATAATGCACAGGTTATGGTGAGAGCACCAAGAATGACTCAATGCTGGATGGAAGGGATCTCAAAGGTTTCCAGGAGGAGATAGAATCTTATGAAATCTAAAGTGGTTCTAAATAGTACTCTCAAACTTTAACATGTATTAAAATCCCCTAGGAATCTGGTGAAAATGCAGTTTCTCAATCAGTATGTCTGAGTAGTAGGACCCGAGATGCTACATTTCTATCAGTCTCCAGGAGATGTCCACGCTGCTAGCCCCCAGACCATCTTAGAATTGCAAACGTCTTAAAGGATGGAAAGGAGTAAGGGCTTTGCAGAGCGAAAACAGGCAGAATAAACAGCATAAGTAAATCACAGAGGTAGGAAATACTTGAGTATGTGTGATGAGACTGAAGCACACTGGTGTTACCAGGCAATTTAAAAGGTCATGAGTGTCTAAAATGGGGGTGAACAGGAGTATGACATATCTCGCTTTGTCACACAGACTGGAGGGCAGTGGTGCGATCTTGGCTTACTGCAACCTCCGCCTCCCAGGTTCAAGCAATTCTCCTGCCTCAGCCTCCCGAGTAGCTAGGATTATAGGTGCCTACCCCCATGCCCGCTAAGTTTTGTATTTTCAGTAGAGATGGGGTTTCACCGTGTTGGCCAGGCTGGTCTTGAACTCCTGACTTCAGGTGATCCACCAGTCTTGGCCTCCCAAAGTGCTGGGATTACAAAAGCATGAGCCACCTGCCCTGCAGGAGTATAGCATGGAAAAGGGAAGTTATTGTATGGATGACAGAGTATATCAAAAATTCTTTAAGTAGGGAAATTATATGGTAACAACTGCAAATCAAATAACAAGTCTGGTGGCTTCACTGGTAGAATAATGGACAAGAAGATAGTATACTAGGCTGTTTAAATAAACCTGCTAAAGATGAGGAGTAGGACTTAAATTATGGCAGTAACAACAGATTTAGATGAAAAGAGATTGATCTTAGAAATGTTTAGGAAATAGAATAGGTTGATTACATCATCACTTGTTAATGTAAAAATCAGGTGGTTGTTATTTTTTTGCAGGCCTGATATCTATTCTTAACCTGACACCTAGTAATATGTGATCTTGAACAAACAAGCCACTTACCTTATTTTAGCAGTGGCTTTCATATCTTTAAAAAAAAAAAAAAGTAAAGATTTGACCCAAATGAACAGTGTCATTGCTTTAAACCCTAAAATGTATGAGCCTGTGAACTAAATTCATCTCATTGAATTGTAGAGTTATAAAATGTATTCTAGTACCTACTACAATGCCTGGACTTTGTAAAATGAATTCTTAGAACCTACAACAATACCTGTTCTCTATATATATACATATATATATACACACACACATAATATATGACAATGTATTATATAATATATGTAAAATAGATGACAATATTAGTCATACAATGTGTGTATGCACATACAATGTGTGTGTGTATACACATTGTATGACTAATATTGAATCTACCTAACTGATAGGTATTAAAACTTGAGACGTTTTAAATCCCTCCTCTTTTTTGCCCACCACATTCATTACCAAGTCCAGTTGTTTGTTACATATGCCCTACTGGCAATTCTTTGGTTTATGCACTTATTTTTTAGCCAGATTCCTGCAATAGCACCTTAAATGTTCTCCCTGGTTTTAATCAAATCCCCTTCCAAACACTCTGAGAAACTGAAGAACTCTGGAATCAGAAAGACTTGGGCTTGAATGCTAACTCCACTGTTTCTTAACTGTGTGATTGTCAGTAAGTGATTTAACCTCTCTAAACCTTGGCTTCCTTACCTGTAAATTATAGGGATAATAGGAAGATGAACTGTTCATAAAGTACTTACTATAGTGCCTATTACACAGTGAGAACTCAATAAGTGTTAGTTATTATTTTGAAAGACACATCTCAAAAAAATTTGAGCAGGCACTTCATAAAAGAGGAAAACCAAATTACCAAAAAATAAAAAAAATGGAAAGATGCTCTTCTCCATTAGTAATCAGCAAAATGCAAATTAATACTTCTATGAGTACAATTATGCATCTCCCTGATTAGCAAAATTTAAGAACTTGTAAATCAAGTGTTGTTGAGAATGTAGAGTTTCTCACATACTGCTGCTGGGAATGTAAATTGATGCAACTGATTGGGGAAAATATTTTGGAATTATTTAGTAAAATTAAAGGCGCACATACCCAAAAACTCAGCAGTTCATTCCCTTGATATTTATCCTAGAGAAGGGTAAATATCAGAATCTATGATAACTAATATATAAACATAAAAATGATATTAAATTTATATTTATACTAGCATTAAATAAAATAGATTTAATCCAAATGTTCAACAACAGTAGACTAGATAAGTACATTTTGGCATAGTAATACAGTAGAATACTATACAACAATTTAGACGAATAAACTCTATGCATTAACATGAAAGAATCTCACATGTTAGCAAAATAATCAGGTGAGAGAGTATATATGCTATAATTCCAAATACATGGAGCTGAAGCATTGTCAGAACTAAGATTTATAGCAGAGAGATGCACATATAATTAGAAAACCTACAAAGAAAAGCAAGGTAATGTGCATGACAAAAGGTAGGATAGTAGTTAGAAGTGGGGAAGGAAAAGTATGTGATCTGAAAGGGACACATAAGGGCTTGCCGGGAGTGTATTAGGTAATGTTTGATTTATTTGTTTGATTTGTTTTATGTTGTTTGATCTGTTTACATGATGTTTGTTTTACAATTATCCTTTAACCTCTGTTTTATACACTCTTCTAGGTGTATGGTATAAAAAATAAACTGATTATGTCAATCTCCTACTTAAAATCTTTCAAAAGCTCTTCACTTTGAAACAAATTCCAAACTTCTTAATTTTATATAAGAGACCCTTCATGGCACATGTCTTGTATTCCTCTTTAACTTTATCTCTGCCACTACAATTTCTGCTCCAGCATAGTAAACGATACCTAGTATCCCCACACAATCATGCTCTCTCAGGTTTCTGGGTCTGTTAAAAAATGTTGCCACTATGCATTGCATCCTCCCTTCCCCTGGCTATCCTCTTACTGTGCTTAATAGTCCATTAAAAGACCCCTTCCCCTGGGAACCCTTCCTTGACTAATCTCTACCACATCTGCGTTAGAGTCTCCTCTGATGCACTTCCTTTGGCACTCTGTACCTACTCATGTAATAGCACTTCATAAATGCCACACTCTGGAACATAACTACCCCATTAATAAGCACATTTTATTGTAAGCACTACACTCTTTAGACTGAGGGCTCCTTTAAAGCAGGGACTGCCCTTTATCCACCCCAAAGCTAAACATGCTACCTATATCACAGATTCTCGGTATGAGTTTGATTAGTGAAGTAATATTCTGAATGGAGAGAGCATAATATGCTTTCTACATCATTGGTAGTAACCTATAACATATTAGGTTCGACCATATAAAATTGCCCTTATTTTGGATCAAAAATGGTTTGTTGGCCGGGCGCGGTGTCCCAAGCCTGTAATCCCAGCACTTTGGGAGGTTGAGGCAGGTGGATCATGAGGTCAAGAGATCGAGACCATCGTGGTCAACATGGTGAGACCCCATCTCTACTAAAAATACAAAAAATTAGCTGGGCATGGTGACGCGTGCCTGTAATCCCAGCTACTCGGGAGGCTGAGGCAGGAGAATTGCCTGAACCCAGGAGGCAGAGGTTGCGGTGAGCCAAGATTGCGCCATTGCACTCCAGCCTGGGTCACAAGAGCGAAACTCCGTCTCAAAAATGGTTTCTTATTGGCAATTGTATGTGATTCTTTATAACACTCATTAAGTACATTTTGATTAAGCACAGTATAGTGATGGCTATTAGATCTGTTTTCCTAATATAATGGGAGACAGGTTGTTTTTTATGAATTGTTTTATAAAATCACTATATGAAGTAACTCTAGGATTAATTTCAACAGTCTTCTGCAGTTATAGGCTATACATTAATTCACAGGGCAGCCTACCTATCTAGAGTTATATAAGCCTCTAGGCAAATGAAAGAAAGATATTGATCACTAGCTCAAAACAGCTTCTTTTGGAGTCTGATAAGCACCACAGTCAAACTCTAGTTCTCAAAGATGTTACTTGACAGATTATAACTCATTCATCTCTGCTGGAATCTATTGATTATTGACTTTGGTGACCATGAAGCATTAAGTATTTGATTTAAAAAGATATTTTACCTGTGTGTGCTGATATTTTTATAAAATAATAAATTTTTAAAGTTATTCCAACTAAGCAGAGCAACTGGATCTATTTTTAACATTGTTTTGTTAAGCAAAAAGATTTGTAGGCCAAAATGCCCATGAATTGAGTTTTATAAAACTGTGATTTCTCTACTCTTATTTCAGAAAAGCTAAATGGTGTGAGTGTGTGTGTGTGTGTGTGTGTGTGTGTTCCTAAAGGAAACTGAAAACCATAATTTAGCTCAGAACCAATTTTTCTACTAAAGATGAATCAGTACAATATAGTACAATGTTGCAAATAATAAAAGTCACTTAAAAATAATGGTACCCAACTGTTACTCTGCCACATGAAAATGTTAATTGCAGGTATCATCCGTGGTGGTAGTATCGCGGTATTATATGCTGCACCCATGTACTTCAACGCTTTTCACTATTGTATGTAGTATTAGTAGTACCACACCATTAAACATTCTGTTCTATGGATTTTCACTTCTGTAGTTGACATTATTTGGAGCAGTATTTCTCCAGATCCATATACCAAACCATCTGAGATATTTAAATTGGTTATGCAGATCACAGTTTTCATGCTAAGGAATATTTTTAAATTTGCAACTCACCACAGCTTGTATGGTTTCTCATCTATAGGAAACGGGTCTAATTCAACAGTTTCTTGCATGAGTTGCCATAGTGAAGATCTGAGATGGATCTGTCATTGGTGTTTCTCACACTAGCCTGAAAGCAAAGCCGAAAAACAGATGAGTTTGATTTTAAGATTTAAATGGGAACTTCACCTGTATTTAGAAAACCAAAAAGTTGACATCAAAGACAATTGGTTATTGGGTGGGTGAGTGAGGGCAGAGGAAAGAAAAAATCTCAAGGTAGTTATCGCTATTCATAATTTATTGCAAGCACAAGAACTTTGATGTTATCAATACCAGAACAACTATATATTTTAATATCTGAGCATAAACCAAATTAGTAATTCCAATTTCAGTTGATGTAATTGGTTTTGTGATATGAATTTGGTTTTCTAATACAAGGCACCCCACTCTTCCTCAACTAGGAGAGCTCTACTGTTACATATATTTACATATTCTGCTTTTCATAAAAGATTTAATTGGAATAATGGTTACATAGGTACAAATAAAGAAGGATAATTTTGAAAACCTCTGAATTATACAAAAGAAAGTAAACCTAAACTGGAGTTTGTCTGAAAAGACCTGTATTTATGTTCTTCCATCATCTTATCTAGTTACAAACCTACTTTTTCACCATTATCACCTGTTCTTCCCACCATTATATTAGACACGATTCTTCAGACTCTGTGGCAGTTTTTAACATGCCACCCATTGTCAAATCGTAAGTTTTTATTTCTAGTTTGGAAAATATTGTCATCATATTTTCATTTTTATTTCAAGTTTGGAAAATATCATCGTCATACCCAAAAGAGGCCTCCTCTTTGCTGCACTAAGAGTCTCTTTCCTGGCCAGGTGCTGACAATTACTTCTAGGACTATTGCTCTCTCACCATCCCATCACCTCACCCTGATACTCTAGTGTGGCCTAATTGTTACCTACCACCACTTCAAACGAGGTGGATTCCTTTCTCCTCTGAATTTCTATTGCACTTATTATCAAAACACTACTATGGGCCCTTGATTTTATACCATCTTTATTGATATTTAGCCTCATCTCCCCAAATGGGTATAAGTTCCAATTGGCAGAAACTTTGTGTTACAGTTTCTCAATTTTTTCTACCATAACACTTAGCAGAGAATTCAGTACATGAGAGATATTCATTTAGTGAATATTTGGTGTGTCCCTATTGTATGCCAAACAGACAAAGTCAGTCCCTGATGAGGACTGACTTATAACTTAGTAAAGAATACAGGTAATACAAGAATAGACAATTACTATATAATATAAGTGCTGCGATGGAGCTTCCACCGACAAACACTGAATAAACATTGCCAAATAAACAGACATAACCTAAGAGCTTTGCTTCACTATCAATGCTTTCAGATCCCATTTCCAATGTATAAGAAGAGGGCAATTGCTTTAAGCAAACCATTTTCAGAAAACGCACAGGACACCCAGGCAGATTAACATAGACAAACAGGAGTCAGTTTTATCTCTATGAAGACAAGCCACTAAGATGAATTTCTAAAACTTTAAAGTCACTGCTGTTTTTGTTTTTGTTTTTCTTCATACACACACACACACACACACACATGCACACACACACACACGGTAGTGAAACTCCTGTTTATTACTGAGCAGGTCACTGCAAATGCCCAATTGCCCTATAGGGGAGCTTTGCCTTAAACCTGCACACCACTCAGGGTTTTAGAGCAGCTGTGGGTAGGAACGCTTCTCAGGAGCCTTTAGTCATTCCTTTTTCCATTGAAAACTTCCATTTCTATTCCTACAAGCATTATTTCCATAAGCCTTAAGGGTTTTACATCTCATAGTCACCAGAGATAATAACTGTGAGAAAAGCCATAGTGGCTTGTTATGGATCCAAAACATCAAATAAACTAGAAAATTATTTACCAAATATATTATGTGTTTGAGGTCTACATTTTAAACCTAAAATGTTTCTATTTAGTGATTTTCAATATTACCTGACATCTTCTCTTAAGAGTTTCTACCAAGATTCACAATAAGAAATAAAGCTTCTCCCTATTAAATACAGAAAACAAAAGGTATGCAAAACAGTTTTCATATTTTCCCCTTCTTTGCCTTGATTGGCTCATGAGGATAAAATGTACTCAAACTGAATAATCTTTAGTCAAAACCTTACAACTTCACTATGCAAATATGTACAGGTAGGTCAATTTCTGAAAAGATGGGCTCCAATTCTAAGTTACATTTTTCTAAACAATCAATATGCAGCATGATCTTTTTATCTGAATCAGCAATACAGTGTCTCATCTCAGACTTATATAATGCAATAAATACATCCAATATGCCAAAGAAGCAAATGGACCCTGTTTTTCTTTACCAGTAAGCATCTCCCCTACTAGTCCCTAGGCTCAACTTTTTCCACAAGTCCTTGGTCCTCAGAAGAAGATGCAATAATAGATGCATGTGTGGTAAGAGGAAGGCACTCAGCATTCCTGCAGCAAACAGAGCATTGTACTCCATTCTTGTCACTACTGGACACTTCCGTGCCTCTTTTTGTATGATTGTTGCTATGTCCAACCAAAAGCTTAAAAGAGACTGTAAGAGGAAATAGAAAGGGCAATGAAGAAGAAAGAATTGAAGACAACAATGTGTTTGCTATTTATTCTAATTGAAGGAAGTCTCTCTTGTTTTGAGTCCATTATTCTGATAAGCAGCCAAGCAATCATTCGATTTGAACACACCAATTCCACTGAAAGTCCTTTAGCTACAAATGTGACCTGAGGCCAGAACTGGAGCATGAAAGGAGAATATCTATTCCCATATTTAACAAACAAGTAAACACCCAATTTGTCTTTAGCTTTTAGTATGAGCTTAAGAAGAATTTATAACTAGGCTTCACCCAAAGAAAGAGATTGATTTACATGAAACCACAATAAAACCTTGCTTATGCCTTTAAACATGGGAGGCTTTTTCAGATTACTTAGGTTGGGCAAATTTGTTTTGCTTGTGATATTCCTGTATGATATACTAAGAAGGAAAATCTTATTAATTTTTCTATAAATTTAAAATACTTACATTTTATAGCATTGACAATAAATTCTCAGTTCATTCTAACCTTAAAATATATAGACCATGTACTATGAAACCATTAAATACTAATAGCTGCAGACGTACCAGACAATGACAGCAAAAACACACACAGTCCCTCTGGGATCTGTTCATAAACATCCCCTTCCAGCATGGCAAACACACTCCTCTCAACAGCAGATGCTGTTCTGGGGCGAGCAGGCAGGAAGCTGGAGGCAGCTGATTTTTCCACTCTACATATAATTTCTTACTGCCTCATTATCCAGAATCTTTTTACTGAAACTGTGAGGGTTTTTTTAAAAACAGGAGCCCCTCAAATTGAAGGTACTTTGCAACAGCGGAGGAATGACATGCAAATGAGAAAGCATGAAGACTCTAATATTTAAGGTCACACCACCTTTGTCATCTGATTTTCTAGTCCCATTGTAGGGGAGAGAAACCCCAGTTTGCTCCACATAATAAAATAACCTAACCCTATACTTTATGTCAATTTTAAGAGTGTGATCAAGGAAGAGAAGGGAATACATACCAGAGGCAGCCAAGCTGCTACATCCAAAGCATCCAACCCCTAAAATCCAATGGTTCTGAAGTGAAGTCGGAAGCTTGTGCTACATTTATATATTTATTTGTTATATATTTATAATATCTATACTGACCTAAAGTAGAAAATTCACAGAAGCTTCTCTGAGAAAAATGGTCCTTACTGCAACCACTTTAAATATTTTAATAAGCATTCTGTGGGATCTTCCAGGGTCCGACAACTAGCAGATTAGGGATAGAGGGAGATATTGGATGTTGTCCTGGCAATGCCTGGTGCACTTTCACTCCTTTACTTTCCACCTGAACTGTGGCCTGTCCCATATGACTTAGCCTGCTTCCTTGCAGTTTGTTCATAAAAGTTACCGTCAACATCACAGAAGCAGGCAGAGCTGCTGTATAGACACTGTCAGGCTCTGCACCAAAGGCAGCCCATGTAAACAACCTTGTGATTGCTTCAGAGCCTGCTGCTCTGGGATAAGCCATTCTTTTTCTGTGGCTAAATTGCAGTACCCTGGGAAGTTGTCTGTTTAAGGTGGTAAAAGCAGAGACTAGGTCTCTAGATTTAAGTGTGGGAGGAAGGTGAGAAAAATATATAGATGGATAATTTTCTTGTAATATCTATAATCTGATTTACTTACAGATTTTCCAGTAAATTACATTTTTTTGTTGAAGGCATAAATACATAGATTCTAATAAATATATCGCCATACTTATTACTGATTTTTTTTTTTTTCAAAAGAGCTCTGACATTTGTAGGGGACACAGTATCCCAGCACAGAATACCTGGGAACCTTGCCATGAAAAAAAAAAATGCTGCCTGCTGTGACTAGGAGATCACTTTCTTAAAGGGACCCCTTACCTATCTGACTGCAGTGCCAATGCTTCCCCTTATCTCTAACAGACTCCTGTTCTGTGTTCCTCTCTCCAGCTCAGATTTAGCCTAGAGTTGTTCTGCAAGAGTAATGCCATTAGTCTTACACCTAATATATATAAATACTGCTCCTTAGTAAAATACATCTTAAAATATTTAAGTTATACATCTCAGGAAGCAAACATAAATTCAAACTAAAAGACATTATTTTAAATGTTTTATAGAACCCATTGTATTTTTCAGATATGGAACTAAGGTCAGCAGTTCTAACAAGCACAGTTTTTTTTTTTTCTCTCCCTCTCCCTCTCTGTGTGGTTGGTCTCTCTCTCTCTCTCTCTCTCTCTCTCTCTCTCTCTCTCTCTCTCTCTCTCTCTCTCTCTCCTTCTGTAGCTCTGCATTGGTCTAAAAACCCCTGGTCACAATAAGAATGCTCCCTCCCTCCCTCTGCTACCCCTCACTCCAAACAGAAAGATTTCAACACGCCCAAGTCTGGTAAGAGATATTCTGCATAGAGGGTAAAGCTGGTGGCTTTTTGCCTCAAAGCTAGTTCACTTGATTAACCTGCTTTCCACCCCATTTCTAGCGTCTCCTCCAAACTCCCTCTCCCTCCCCACCAGGAGCAATCAATAGACATCACCCCACCCTCCAAACACAGGTTAGAACCCAGAACGAGCAAAGAGCCACCTACCATTCCGTGCCTGAGAACTGCGATCCTGATCCGGCAGTGTTTGCCCCAGAAATCCTCCCTACTTGTTTTTCGTTAACCACATTCCAGACTATAATAAGGAAGAGATTCTTTGGAGATAGGGAAATTGTTTAAAATTAATGATGGACAGGTAATTTCCAAGAAAACCCAATCTTAAACTCACTCAAGCCCCTAGGAATTGAGGGGTGAGGACAAAAAAGGAAATTTGTAAAAATGAAAAAAGAAAAGAAAAAGGTAAGCATATAGCAAGCACCACCCACCCCCATAAAAATTAAAAGTGAAGGGGAGGTTAAAGAGAAAAGAAGAAGAAGAGTGGCTTGCTGAATCACCCTCTTTCACTGCCTAGAAACCATTGTGCAGCGTGATGCTGCCTGTACCATTGTGGAACCTACCAGAGGAGACCGACAGAGAGGGCTTGGGGAATGGGGTTGCTATGGCAACTGAAAGGAGCACACATGACGTCAAAGCCCAGAGAGGTCTAGGGAGGGGTATGAGGGGGAACAGAAAGAGGAAAAGTCTATGTGCAGCTACAGCTACTGTGTTTTCCGGTTAAATGAGGACCAGGCAAATGTAAAGAATAAGGATCGTCAGCAGCCAACATCAGCAAATACATCAAGGCAGCCAGCCTGCACAACCTGAAGAAAAGATCCATCAGATGCAGCTCTGGCCCTTTGCACAGCAGCACCGAGGAACAAATACCAGCAGAGCAAAACACCGCTGGAAATGCAGTCAACCTCTGCTTTTCAACTATCTCCTGCAATATCTCTAAACGTCAAACAAGTAAGAGATGGTAATAACCTCAGAGGAGAAGCAAGCATTTGAGTCTCTCCTGAACCCCGAGGTCATTTGCACAGCACTGTTCCTCTTCTCTGTTTCTTTGTTTTTGTAAAAAATCCTGAATAAATATCCACTAAACCAAACTCAACAAACTAATACTTAGGTTGCAATCTGAGTGTACAAAGAAAACACTGATTAATTTGAGCTAACGCATCAGTGTTCTTTTTTTAATTGCAGATATTTTCTAGAAAATGGATACAAATTGTATTGTTACTATTTGGAACTAATGTCATAATTTTATTTAAGTAATTTGCTCTGCCTTTTTTTATAGGGTATTTTTTAAGTCTCCATACAGTTTTACTATCTACAAATAATAGTTTCTGGGAATGACAGCAGTTGACTACTTGCACTATTAAAAAAATTAGGTTTACCAAATTTGTTTTACCTGTTTTATGTAAGAAAATTTTTCAGTACAAATTTTGCTTAAACCATCTCCAGGCTTTGGACTTGTCAAATTACATAATCTAATTCAATTCTCTTTTTGCTTACAGTCCTTTGAGGTAGGTTTCTGTTTATTGCTACCAAGTAGCACTGAGTTGTACGTGATTCCATGTTATGTTTTAGAACTAGCATACTTATATGAATAAGAAGTTTCTTCCATATGTTACCAGTAAGATACAACATGAAACAGATGCAAACTCAGCAGTGACTGTAGACACTGAAACACATCAGAAAACTGTAAGAAATAAGTAAGGTTTTGTTGTTTTTGTTGCTGTTGCTGCTGTAGTTTTATTTGGGAAGAAAAATTAGAAAAAGAAAGGTTTGAATTAGTTGTAAGTCATTGTAGTCCATTGGATAAGCATTTGGATGTCCCTTTACTCTAATTTCAGTTTCAACAAGAATCAACAAGACCACCTGCTAGTCTCCTCAATGGGTCTACCTGCAATATAACTATCTCATTCAAAAATATGGATTGATAGCCAAACAACTTTATAACTCAAAATAATTGGCATTATGACTTTTGAGGTATTATATACTAAGTTTAGATATCAAAAGTCAATTCCCCAATCCCACAGAAATTAAATCAGTATGTTGAAGAGATGTCTACACTCCCATGTTTATTGCATCACTATTCTAATAGTCATAAAAACAATGTGTCCATCAACAGATGAATGGATTTTTTTAATTATATATATATGTGTGTGTGTGTGTGTGTGTGTTTGTGTGTGTATTATGTATACCACACACACACACATACATGCTGGAATACTATTCAGCCTCATAAAAAAAGGAAATTCTGTCATTCTCAACAATATGGATGAAGCTAGAGGGCATTATGGTAAGTGAAATAAGTGAGGCACAGTGAGACAAATACCATATAATCTCACTTATATGTGAAATTTTAAAAAGGACAAACTTGTAAAAATGGAAAGTAGAATGGTGGTTACCAGTGGCTGGAGGAAGGAAAGGTGGACAAGGAAAGGGGAGACATTGGTTAATGGGTACAAAGTTTCTGTTAGAAAAGAGAAATAAGCTCTGGTGTTCCATTGCACAGTACAGTAACTATACTTACTAATAATATATTACCTATTTCAAAATGGCTACAAGAGAGGATTTCAAATGTTCCCACTAAAAAGAATAACAAATATTTGAGATGACAGATAATGAGTCTGATTCTACAATGTGTATGCATGTAAAAAATATCACATGCACCTTATACCCCATATTATATATCATTATTGTCAATTAAAAATAAAATAAAACAATTTGTAAAAAGCCAATGCCAAGTAATATAATATCAATGAGGAAAAAATGAACTTCATCTCTTATCTTACATTGTAAACATAAATATTTATTCAAGATGAATTGTACACCTCAACATAAAAGCTAAAATATATAAAGTTATTAAAATACATCTTTTTTAAAGATGGTTTTCTGACCTTGCAGTGGGCAAAGATTTCTTAAGATACGGAAAACACTTATACCATAATAGAAAAAAAGAGACTTCATCAAAATTAAAAGTTTCCATTTATCCTAAGTCACCATTAAGAAAATGAATAGACAAGCCACAGTTTAGATGATACATATTTGAATACTCTTGATAGCTGACAATATTAATGGTACACACAAATCCTAGATTATATAAAACATTTCCTACAATTCAATAATAAACACAAACAAACAATTGTGTTTAATGGGCAAAAGACAAGAAAAGGCATTTGACAATGGAAAATTTGTAAGTGGCCAATAAACATATGAAAAAGTATTCTATATCATTAGTCAGCAGAAATATACAAATTAAAACCAAAATGAGATACCATTTCATGCCCACAAAAATGACTAAAATTAAAATGACTAACATTGCCAAATATTGACAAGGATACAGGAAAACCAGAACTCTCCTACATTATTCGTAGGAGTATAAAATAATAAAACTACACTGGAAAATGGTTTGGAAGTTTTTATAATTATAAACCTACACCTAAAGTATGACTCAACACTTTTATTTATAGGGAGTCATCCAAGACAATGGAAACCTACATCCACCAAAAAAAAGCTGAACATAAATGTTTATGCCAGCTTTGCTTATAATAGCAAAAGCTGGAACAACTCAAAAGTGTATCAACAAGACAGCAGATAATTATAATGTACAATTAGCCCTCCATATTCACAGGTTCCACATCTGTGGATTCAAAAAATAAAGATCAAAAATCTCAGGAGAGAAAAATAAAAAATAACACTACAGCAATTAAAAGAAAAAAAACACACTATAACAAATACTTACATAGCATTTACTTTGTACTAGGTATTATAAGTAATTTAGAGATGATTTAAAACAATAGGAGAATGGAACACTATGCCACTTTATAAAAGAGATTTGAGCGTCCACTGATTTTGGTATGGAGGGGTTGTTCCTGAAACTAATCCCCCTGAAAGTACAGCTGGATGACTGTATTTGCCTAATAGACTACAACTCAGCATTTAAAAAGTAATGGCAACCGGGAACAGGTTAAAACCAATCATTTTCATCCATTAGATAATAATTTCTTTTTTACGCTTTCTGAAAATTTATTTATTTTTATTAATGTTACTTGTATTGACAATCATAATTGTATACATTTATGAAGTATGTTGTGCTATTTTGATATGTGTATACAATATGGAGTAATTAAATCAAGTTAACATAACTGTCAACCCACTTATCATTTTTGTGGTAAGATATTTGAAATTTACTCTCTTAGTTATTCTAAGACATACAGTACATTATTGTTAACTATAGTCACTCTGCTGTGCAACAGATCTCAAAATTTATTCCTCCTGCCTTACTGAAACTTTAGTTAACTAAAATATTTGTTAACTAAAACTCTTTTTTTTGTTTGAGACAGGGTCTCACTGTGTCGCCCAGGCTGGAGTGCAGTGG